TGATAGCTTGCGTATGCCGTCAAGGTATCAAACACCAAAGTTCATGTCGTTTGACGGAAAGGGAAACCCAAAGCAACATGTCGCCCATTTCATTTAAACTTGCAACAATGCTGGGACGGAAAGAGACTACCTCGTCAAGCAATTCGTGCGGTCGTTAAAAGGTAACGCTTTTGACTGGTACACTAACCTCGAGCCCGAGTCTATCAACAGTTGGGATCAGCTAGAAAGGGAATTCCTCAACCACTTCTACAGCACTCGCCGCACTATGAGCATGCTGGAGCTAACCAGTATGAAACAGTGAAAGGATGATCCTATCGTCAACTACATCAATAGATGGCATTCATTAAGTCTGGATTGCAAAGATTGGCTTTCTGAAACCTTCGCCATTGCGATGTGCGTTCAAGGCATGCAGTGAGGAGTACACTACATCCTTCAAGGCATCAAACCACGAACCTTTGAGGAGTTAACCACCCGCGCCCATGATATAGAGTTAAGCATCGCCCATCATGGGAAGAAAGAAACGATCGCCAACTGCAAGAACGACAAAGTTTTGGGGCCAAAGGTGGATAAAGTTGTGTGGAAACGCACCAAGGAAGCAATGACGGTCAACACAACTCCAGTCAAAATCTCTACACAAGGCAAGGCGATTCAAATCAAAGCTTTTCATGATCAAGAGATGCGTAGACGCACTTTGAAGGAGCTTGAGAAGAAGACTTATCCATTCCTCGACTCTGATGTGGTTGCCATGTTGAAAGACTTGCTTAACAAGAAGTTGATCGACCTACCTGAGTGTAGACGGTCGGAAGAGATGAATCGTACTGACAATCCAAGGTACTGTAAATTTCACCGCTTTATCAATTATCCAACAAAAAAGTGCTTTGTGCTGAAAGATCTTATCAAGAAGCTAGCTCAGAAAGGAATCATCGAGCTAGATCTTGACGATACGGTGAAGTCAAACTATACCACCGTCACTTCTGGCTCTTTCTACTCAAAATCTTCACCTCAACCATAGGGGGCATGCTTCAAAACCATGTCAATCAAGTCAAGTGAAGTTGAAGGATAGACTCATGTCACTCCAAAGAAAATGCACAAGAAGCATACGTCTCATCCACAAGTTCACCAATTGGAAAAGGGGCAAAGCAGCTCTCGTCAACCTCCAAAGCTACATGAAAGTGTCGAGGATGATGAAATTATGACACGAAGATCGTCCGTTGCCATCACGATGTGCGATTTCTTCCCCAAAGACTTCTTCAATCACTCGGTCAAGACTCTTTGCTATGAAGATTGTAAGGAATGTCTCTCCAAGATCGTTTGACAAATTCACAAAGCTCCTCGTTCGCACGAGCCTAAAAGGCGATAACAAACGCTCCTTGCCTGCACAAGCTGAAACTGCAAACGGCAACAAACGTTCTTTGCCTGCACGAGCTGAAACTGGAAAAGGCACCAAAAGCTCCTCATTCACATGAGCCTAAAAGGCGACAACAAACGCTTCTTGCCTGCACGAGCTGAAACTATAAACGACAACAAACGCTCCTTGCCTACACGAGCTGAAACTACAAACGGCAACAAACGCTCCTTGCCTGCACGAGCTGAAACTGCAAAAAGCACCAAAAGCTCCTTGTTCGCACGAGCCTAAAAGGCGACAACAAATGCTCCTTGCCTGCACAAGTTGAAACTGCAAATGGCACCAAAAGCTCCTTGCTTGCACAAGCTGAAACTGCAAACGGCACCTAACGTTCCTAGCCCGCAAAAGTATAAACTGTGTACAGCAAAATCATCATCATTAAAACCATCAAAAGCAATCCATTGCTCATTTGAACTACGTCATGACTTGATCCCTCCTTAATCGAGGGTACGTAGGCAACTTGAAATTTCAAAACTTCAAGTACAGTTACATCATCAACAAAAAACGCAAACACTTTGAAGAATAAAGAGCAAATTCAAAATGTGAATATTTTATTTCTTTAAAAGGAATGAATATCACACCAAAACCTTGAAGCTTTGAAACTCTATAGCTCTCAAGTAAATCCCGAATGATCAAGAAAGCTCTCTTCGTTCTTCGTCAAATCCTCCTTTAAGATCAAGCCCCGTTGGCCTTTGAAGAACTTCTTCCAACTCAAGATCAAGTCCCGACGGCCCTTGAAGAAAGTGTTCATCGTTCATCATCCGTTCATCCTAAGATCAAGCCACAACGACCCTTTGGATCAACAAATCCACACATCCAACCGTTCTTTAAGATCAAGCCCAAAAGCCCTTGAAGATCCATTCATCACCATTCTTCAAGATCAAACCCAAAAGCCCTTGAAGATCCGCTCATCCATCAACCTTCAAGGTCAAGCCCAAAAGCCCTTGAAGAAATCCGCACAACCATTATTCAAAGATCAAGCCCTGAAGGCCCTTGAAGAAGCTCCCACTTGTTCATCCTAAGATCAAGCCCCAACGGCCCTTTGGATCAACAACTTCAAGATCAAGCCGAAAAGCTCTCAAAGATCTGTTCATCCCTGTTCTTCAAGATCAAGCCCCAACGGCCCTTGAAGAAACTTCCAACTGTTCATACAAGATCAAGCCTCGACAGCCCTTGGATCAACAACACGTCAACAAACCAATACCTTACAGAGTTCAAATCAGATGACCAAATTACAAAGAGATTGTAACCCCAAAAAAATCAATACAAAATATTATTTTGTACACGTGTTCTTGTTTCAGGAAAATTTGTGTTTACAAATCTAACTACATGACTTTAAATCTAAAAGGTCCTGGTCCCCACTCTAATTCAAGCTCCAAATATCGAACATATCATATGTTCTCTTGTCTACCTCTAATGAAGTTTTAATACCATAAACCATATTTCAATCCAACCTACACAACAATGTCATTAAGCAATGAAACAATAGTCGTCCCACTATAAAGAACATCTTTTATCTCCAATCTTCTTTACCTGATTAACATTTCCACCCAAAAAAGAACATCTGAACTATTACTCTTACTTCTCGTGCAGGTTAGACGATTCATTCATAAGGTCTCTGATTTTGATTCATTTGATGTTATGACACTGCATAACTATATATCCAAGAAAATGCAAAGCGCACCAAATTCAAAACTTCCCAACCCAATTCAAGCACATTCTTCCTAATCTCGAATTGCATGTCACAAAAATCAAAACATTAACATTATTTCTTCATGCCTACTTCTTAGTCATAATCAATCAATTCAAAATCAACAAAAACACCAATTATACACCATTAGGACACTGGGCACATACTAAACATAACATAAATTGCCATTGAGATATTCAAATCCCATTTCGCGGAGTTTAAATTAGTTTAAAGTAGAATACTGCTAGTGCTAGTATCAGACGAATAGAGAATTCTAAAATGTGGGTTGTTATAAAAATACATGCATATTCACAGACAAACTGACCGTTTGGCATACAAGCTCCACCCTTTTCTCCTATCCTTCACAATCTTCAACCTCACCTCAATCCCTTTCTGACTTAACCGATTCCCACAATCTAATCCACACCCACAACCCAACCCACACTCTGAAACCACGTCGTCAAACCTACCAAACTTCGAACATGGACATCCACCTCCCTCATCCCCACATGTCTTGCAATCACAACTAGCTGCGACCTCACCCTAGGATTGGCAGAGTGGAAATCGGGAAGAGGAAAGAGGGATTTGAGATGGGTTGTAGAAGAAGAAGGCGTACGGGTGTCGATCGACGGAGTTGTGGAACGGGATCAGATCGAGTTCCAGGGATCGGGAGGCGTCAGAGGCTTGAGTTGAATGCTTTCTTGATGCTCTACATGTCCTGAACTTACACGTTTTACACAAATATTCGGAGGAGTGGTAGGCCGAAAATGTGGCCTTCCCGCTATCAACTCTGCATAAACAAATTATATGTCTTTTCCATTTCCTATATGCTCGCACTGATTGAAAGATGTGGAAGTTGATTTCTTCGAATTGTTTTTAAGAGAACACTATCTCTATATATTCAGTCACAATCGTTCACTAGTTGCAAGCTGTAGAAATCATTATCAGCACCATTCTGAAACCTTTGTTAAACTTTCAGGGGAAGAAGAAAGAGTGCTCAGTTCTCTTTCTCTTCTCTCCTTTTCCTTTTCCCTTTAATTTTCTCGTTTCTCCATTTTGCTTCTTTGCAATAATTAAATACATATTCCAAGCATATATATGTGTGTGTGTGTATATATGTATGTATATGCAAATAATTGGAAGATTAGTTGGTTGGATGATGGATTGCAAAATGTTTACCACTGCAATTTGGAATGCCCAAATTTGTTTGGAACACGAACACTCCATATTTGCCTAATTGAATTGACCTACATGGGACCTTAAATTGCCTTCATAAAGCATACATACTGGGATATATATATTATATGTGTGTGTGTGTGTGTGTGTGTGTGTGTGTGTACAACGTGGTTATGGCCGATGAACATGAGAGATTCTAGAACTTTTGTTGATCCAATTACTGCATTCTTTGTGTTCCTTATTTGTAACATCAGAAAAATGAAGGGGGTAGGATTTTCGACTATTTGCTTCGCTTGGACTTTATGGCTCTGTTTGCTACACCGCATTAGTTTGCCGAATTGAGCTATTATGAGTTAGTCTAAGTTGTATCAAACAGGGTGCTATTTAGCAATCTCACTAAGTGGGACTAGTGCCTCACCTAGTCTCCTTATTTTGACCTTGTTAAAATGAGGGTTTGAACTAGAACCAACCCAAGCGAACACGCCTTATAGGTTTTTTAAATAAAATAGAGCTTACTGTTTATAAAATAGTGTTGGAGTACCCATTCTTTTTTGTTTCACTTGATGCACTTTTTTTTGTTGGCCATGAAAATGGATAGGTAGTTCCTCTTGTTTTGAAATTAAGAATGTTGGTAACCTACTTATTACTTTGGCTGCTAATTGATTAGTTTCAAATGCAAGAAATGATTAGTTTCTAATGTTATAATGTTATGGTTCAAAAAGTGTATAGATGTCGCAGTTGATCACTTGTCGTCGGAGTGTGACCAATAAGCTTCCCGCATTATCAGCATCTACTGCTCCAGGTCGAACACCGCAGAGGTCGATGCATTGAAGGAGGAAGTGACAACTTAAGGGTCAGGTTGCGATCCAGGGCCACCAGATAAGGGCCCAATGCGAGGAGCTAAAGGCCTGTGTTGGGCACGTGAGAGACCTTGTACGAGCCATACAGATGATCGGCATCCAAATCACACTACCAGTACCTGTTCTTGCTCCACCTTCGACCTCTGAGCCACTTCACCTGGAAGACTACTTGTAATTTTTTTTTTGTTCGGACATCTTGTATGTACATTTTCATATATTTTATAATAAAATACTTTTCTTTGGTTAATTAATTATTGTTTAGAATTTAATTACAATATTATTAAAAATTAAAAAAATATATATTTTTGACCAAAACCAAAAAGTGATCTAATCCATTTTGCGCGACGTAGGTTGCGTCGCGCAAAGGCCTACGTCGCGCAAAGTGACTTTGCGCGACTCAGGGACATGCATCGCGCAAAGTGACTTTGCGCAACTCAGGGATATGCATCGCGCAAAGCCCCTTTGCTCGACGTAGTAGGCTGCGTCGCGCAAAGTGACTTTGCGCGACTCAGGACATGCGTTGCCCAAAGCCCCTTTGCGTGACGTAGGTATCTTCTTCGTCGCACAAACCCTTCTGTCACTGCTTTGCCGCGACGGTTAGCGCACGACAAAGGTCCGTTGTGCAAAGTTTTGTGCGACGTTTTTTGACTTTGCGCAAAGTGTTTTTTGTACTAGTGAAATAGACTTCCACCAGAGGTGGTGAAATACTTCATAGATCCAAATGTCGTCGACCCACCAAATATGGAGTTGCTATTCCCACATGTAGATTCGGCTTTGCCTGTAGCATATGGTGTTTTGGGCGTTTTACTGTTTTATGTAAGTGAGATTGTAGACATCGAAATTTCAGTGAAATAAATGTTAGCCAATACAACACTTATTTCACCTATATCATTCCCTCACTTCACCAACAACCTCCACTTACTTCACCTACAATCTCCACTCACTTCACCTACAACCTCCATTCACTTCACCTACATCATCCACTCACTTCACCAAAAAAATAAATGGTGGTGATTCACTCTCAAAGCCTATAAATAGGCTTCTCCATCAAGAGGAATAGGACACCAATTCACAAATACATTTCTCTACTCCCAAAATGGAAGAGAATACTCCCCACACACACAAAAACCAAGACCAATTCACAAATACATTTCTCTACTCCCAAAATGGAAGAGAATACTCCCCACACATCCAAAATCCTTGAAGAACTTCCACCAACTCAAGATCAAGCCCCGACGGCCCTTGAAGAAAGTGTTCATCGTTCATCCAAGATCAAGCCCCGACGGCCCTTGGATCAACAAACAAATCCACACATCTATTCTTCAAGATCAAGCCCAAAAGCCCTTGAAGAAAACCAACTGTTCATTCAAGATCAAGCCTCGACGGCCCTTGAAGAAAACCAACCATTCTTCAAGATCAAGCCCAAAAGCCCTTGAAGATCTGTTCATCCATCAACATTCAAGATCAAGCCCCGAAGGCCCTTGAAGAAACTTCCATCAACCTCCAAGATCAAGCCTCTACGGCCCTTGGATCAACAAATCTACATCTTACGGAGATCGAATCAGAGGACCAAATTTGAGAGATCGTAACCCCAAAATCATCAAACCACAAAAAATATTATTTTGTACACGTATTCTTGTTCTTGTTTCAGGAATTTTTTCCGTGTTCACAAATTTGGCACGCCCGGTGGGAATCTCTACCTCTCATCTTTTTCTCCGTTCAAGAAAACCAAAGCACACCTCCAAAATCAATGGCATCAAGCAAGGGACAAGCCGTTCTTGCAACCACCAAGGGAAGGAGCATGAGCACTTCCGCCACAAATGGAGCATCCATTGGTGCCATAACCACTCCTCAACATGCCGCTGCAAAGTTGGTACCGCTAAGCAAGCAAGAGCAGCATCAAAGGCGCGAGTCGATCATCAACCTGACCTTGCTGGGGGCACCAAAGCATGCTATTGAGGCGCACAAGATGACACCCCAAAATGGCCAATGGGGTTCTTCATCAGCACTATAGATGTCTGAAGGAAAGTCGTGTCTATTGGTTGCACAAGTTCACCAATCGGAAAGGGGGCAAAGCAGCTACCGTCAACCTTCAAAGCTACATGAAAGTGTTGAGGATGATGAAATTATGACACAAAGATCGTCCATTGCCATCACGATGCGCGATTTCTTCCCCAAAGACTTCTTCAATCACTCAGTCAAGACTCATTGCTATGAAGATTGCAAGGAATGCCTCTCTAAGATCGTTTGACAAATTCAAAACGCTCCTTGCCTGCACGAGTTGAAACTGCAAATGGCACCAAACGCTCCTTGCCTGCACGAGTTGAAACTGCAAATGGCACCAAACGCTCCTTGCCTGCACGAGCTGAAACTGCAAACGGCTTGAAACTACAAATGGCACCAAACGCTCCTTGCCTGCACGAGCTGAAACTGCAAACGGCACCAAACGCTCCTTGACTGCACAAGTTGAAACTGCAAACGGCACCAAACGCTCCTTGCCTGCACGAGCTGAAACTGCAAACGGCACCAAAAGCTCCTTGCCTGCATGAGTTGAAACGGCAAATGGCACCAAACGCTCCTGGCCTGCAAGAGCATAAACTGTGTACGGCAAAATCATCATCAAAACCTTGAAGCCTTAAAGTTCTAAAGCTCTCAAGAAAATCCCGAAGGATCAAGAAAGCACTCTTCGTTCTTCGTCAAATCCTCCTTCAAGATCACGCCTCGATGGCCCTTGAAGAAATTTCCAGCACAGTTCAAGATTAAGCCTGTGGAAAATCAACGATTGGAGGAAACCAAAAAATCTTCCAGTCGAACTCAAGATCAAGCCTCGATGGCCCTTGAAGAAATTTCCAGCCCAATTCAAGATCAAACCTCGACGGCCCTTGGGTTGACATCTACATAAAGGGACTTCAAAACGCATCTTCTACACGTGACAAGCACATGTCTACGACGCGCCTTGAAGTGGGGGCATTTGTAGACATCGAAATTTCAGTGAAATAAATGTTAACCAATACAACACTTATTTCACCTATATCATTCCCTCACTTCACCAACAACCTCCACTTACTTCACCTACAACCTCCACTCACTTCACCTACAACCTCCATTCACTTCACCTACATCATCTACTCACTTCACCAAAAAAATGAATGGTGGTGATTCACTCTCAAAGCCTATAAATAGGCTTCTCCATCAAGAGGAATAGGACACCAATTCACAAATACATTTCTCTACTCCCAAAATGGAAGAGAATACTCCCCACACACACAAAAACCAAGACCAATTCACAAATACATTTCTCTACTCCCAAAATGGAAGAGAATACTCCCCACACATCCAAAATCCTTGAAGCTTTGAAACTCTAAAGCTCTCAAGCATCCAACCCCCAAATTCCCAAGAATCCCGAAGAATGGAGAAAGCACTCTTCATTCTTCGTCAAATCCTCCTTCAAGATCAAGCCCCGATGGCCCTTGAAGAACTTCCACTAACTCAAGATCAAGCCCCGACGGCCCTTGAAGAAAGTGTTCATCGTTCATCCTAAGATCAAGCCCCAACGGCCCTTTGGATCAACAACACAAACAAATCCACACATCCAACCATTCTTCAAGATCAAGCCCAAAAGCCCTTGAAGATCCGCTTATCCATCAACCTTCAAGATCAAGCCCAAAAGCCCTTGAAGAAATCCACACAACCATTATTCAAGATCAAGCCCCGACGGCCCTTGAAGAAAGTGTTCATCGTTCATCATCCGTTCATCCTAAGATCAAGCCCCAACGGCCCTTTGGATCAACAACCTCAACAAATCCACACATCCAATCGTTCTTCAAGATTAAGCCCAAAAGCCCTTGAAGATCCGCTCATCCATCAACCTTCAAGATCAAGCCCAAAAGCCCTTGAAGAAATCCACACAACCATTATTCAAGATCAAGCCCCGACGGCCCTTGAAGAAAGTGTTCATCATTCATCATTCGTTCATCCTAAGATCAAGCCCCAACGGCCCTTTGGATCAACAACCTCAACACACAAACACACCAAAACCTTGAAGCCTTAAAGTTCTAAAGCTCTCAAGAAAATCCCGAAGAATGGAGAAAGCACTCTTCATTCTTCGTCAAATCCTCCTTCAAGATCAAGCCCCGACGGCCCTTGAAGAAAATGTTCATCGTTCATCCAAGATCAAGCCCCGACGGCACTTGGATCAACAAACAAATCCACACATCTATTCTTCAAGATCAAGCCCAAAAGCCCTTGAAGAAAACCAACTGTTCATTCAAGATCAAGCCTCGACGGCCCTTGAAGAAACTTCCATCAACCTCCAAGATCAAGCCTCGACGGCCTTTGGATCAACAAATCTACATCTTACGGAGATCGAATCAGATGACCAAATTTGAGAGTTCGTAACCCCAAAATCATCAAACCACAAAAAATATTATTTTGTACACGTATTCTTGTTCTTATTTCAGGAATTTTTTCCGTGTTCACAGAGATGTCTTGATGTTTGTTGGGTTTGGTTCAAATTTAAAATGTACATTTCTTTCTATGTATTGGCTATCACACTGTGCTCTTTCTTGTCCACCAAGTAGAATCTTTAAGCCTATGCCAATGAAAGAGAGAGCTGATTTATTGTGATGTTTCTTTACATTTTTATGTATAATACTAGATTTGATTGTGAATAAAATGAGCATGCTTATTGTTCAAGTTCACTTACCCTGACGATGTACGTTGAAGAATAAGTAGATACTCAGTTCTGTCAGTTTCAAGAGAGGGCATGCTAGTGAACAAATGAACGATAAGTAAATACTCAATTGTGTCAGTTTTAAGTGAAAAAAAATCTGATGACTTGCGTATGCTTTGTGTGAAAAATGAAAATTATGTCATTTTCTTCTAAAAAAATTCTGTCAATTTAGACCTTCTCCAAATGATTTTTTGAGTTTTGACGAATTAGTCAATATTTTGTAAATTGTGATTTCCTATTTGAATTTTACTTTTGTTCTTATTTGAATATGATTACGATGGAGTTAATTGTATGCAGGAAGTTGGGCATTTTGTGGCTGCTTTCCCAAAGAACGTAAAACTTAGCATTCGTTTCTTTATTCCTAATATTGCTCTTGACAGCTTCGGTGCAATAACTCAGGTACCTCTAATAATCCAAGTATAGCAATCTGAAACATGTCCGTTTAAGAAACTTGTCTCTGTTGTTTAGTATACAATCTGAGTAGGAGCAGGTCATTCCCGAATGAATAATGTAAATTTGATCTTTGTAATGCACTTCTTCCCCCTGCCGCTCCCCATCCCAGACACGAGTTACACATTTTATTTAAGACAGTGTTGGCTTATTCTGTTCCGACTTCTGAGTCATGAGTTTCTGACTTTTCCATTTCTCCCGTATTGTAAGTTTGAATGGTTTAGGACTTTTATATTTATGTGATAGTTGTAGCTATAGGTATGTTGTATTTGATGCAGTCGTTTGACCTAGATTTGTGACTACCTTTGCTCGAACTAAGTCATCTGTGCGCCTAGACCCCCTTATCTCCCTCGTTTGTACTTAAAGGTGATTCAGAGAATTTCTTCTCATCGTTCACTGGTTTTGTAGTTTAAATCCATTCTTCCTGATCCGAGCACAAAAGTCAACATATCACTGGCGGGCCCCTTTGCTGGTGCTGCACTGTCATTGTCAATGTTTGCTGTAGGTCTGCTGCTCTCGTCTAATCCCAACGCTACAGGAGAGTTGGTGCAGGTTCCTAGCATGCTGTTTCAAGGTTCTTTGCTTCTTGGACTCATCAGAAGAGCCATCTTGGTTTAGCGTATGTCCTTCCCTTGCCTCAGTACCACTATTTAACTGATTCTTCTTTGTATGTGAGCTACGAGACATCTATGCAATCCTTTTTCATTTAATGCAGCAAAAGTTTCAGATCATTCCACTTCATATATTCTTAGTTGACATGATACCATCCTAAACATGCAGATCAACGCATGCTGCGACTGTTCCAATTCATCCTCTTATGATTGCTGGCTGGTGACGTACTATTTCTTGACAACCTTAATAATTTCATTGCAATGCGTAACATGCTCGTGACTCAAGTTTAACATTGCAGGTGTGGGTTGACAACAACAGCTTTTAATATGCTTCCAGTGGGCTGTCTTGATGGTGGAAGAGCTGTGCATATTAATTTACAAATCTGTGCACTGAATTTCTCTTTTCGTTTTCTTTATTATGATGATTTCATGAAATCTTTATTAATTTGTTTTAGTTGTTTTTTTTTTTCTCTTTGAAGTAGCCTAAGGTAGATAGTTTACAGTGATGATAGCCGTATTCTAATGTGGTTTATGGTATATCTCTCTTGTTGCAGGGCGCTTTTGGAAAAAATGCTCTAATTACCTTTGGCTTAATGACATACACGATGCTTGGATTGGGAGTGGTATGTCTTAACTTTTACGGCCTAAACCTAACATACTAATGCTTGGTTCAAACTTTAAATTCTTGGATTGAGCAGAGTATGCTAACTTTTATAACTTAAACAAAACATGCTAATGTTTGGTAAAAGCATTAATAGTAGTTTTTCCAACTTTTGAGGCTCGTTAAGTTTTAGTCTTCTTTTCCTCCCTTTCAGCTTGGCGAACCTCTCTCACTTCCATGGGGACTCTACGCCCTAGTTTGGTACTGAGGTAATTCTGAAAAAAATAGCTATAAAAAGCTAGAAGTTTTTTTATGTTTAGTAAACATTCAGATTCAGCTTTTTTTCCATAGTTTTGGGTGAAAAAAAGTTAAAAACAAAGCTGCAAAACCCAACTTTGAAAAACCATCTTTTTTCACATCTGTTTTACATTAAAGTTTATCAAACACTAAATACTGCCTTTTTTTCTTGCTTTTTTTTTTTTTCAAAAGCACTTTTAGAAAAAAGTTTACCAAACACTCAGCTGCTTTATTTCACAGCTGCTTATTCTCGCAGCACAGCAGAAACAGTTTTTTTTCAAAGCACAGCAATACCAAACAAGCCCTACGTGCTCATATGCTAGGCTTGCAAATAAGAGTTTATATATTGCGGTTTCATGCTTCAAAAATCCTCTATCTGCTACCGAGAAAGAAAAAACGCTCCATCTCATTGACATTGTTTTGTTTATATGTTTAGAGTAGGGGTGGTTCGGTATGGGATCCCATACCGAAACCATTGTCCCGATTCCCAAACCGAAATTTTTGGGAATCCCAAATTCAATCCCAATCCCAAACCAAATTTTCGGGAATCCCAATTTTCGGGAATCCCGAAATAATTTCGGGATTTCGGGACAAATCGGGAATCCCGAAATGCTTTTGGGCTTTTGGACTAAATTTGACATATTATGTTTTTGGGCTAAAATTTGACATATTATAAAGTAATAAATAAAGTAACAATGTTAGCGTAATTCATGTAGAACCATGAAAGAAAACGAATATAAGGCATGAATTAGAAAAACCATAGATTCATGAAACAACTCATTAAAATTGAAATGATGGATCACATAGCAGTAACAGCACCATCTCCACGAGAAGGGAATAGGAAATTAGAAATTAGAAATTAGAAACCAATACTTTGATTTGGTTAGTTCAGAAAACACATAAGGAAAAAGGGTTTCTGTACAAGTTAAAAGGTATATGCTTTTAGGTCATAAAAGTCCCATGTCTCCACCTCCACACAGAAGGAAATAATTCTCTAATAATAAAAAAATATATATATATATTTAATATTTATTTCAATTCGGTATGGGAATCCCGAAAAAATGAAGATGCAATACCGAATCCCATACCGAAAATTTCGGTTTGGTTCGGGATAACATACCGAAAATTTCGGGAATTTTGGTTTGGGATTTTTTTGGTTTGGGATCGGGATTTTTTCGGTTTGGTTTGGGATTTTTGGGATTTTTTTCCAGCCCTAGTTTAGAGGACTCCGGAGAAACCGTGCCTGAATGATGTATGTAACCGAGGTTGGAACGTGGACGGTAACAGTTGTTTTAGTGGCCGTTTTCCTTATCGTACTCACACTTCTTCCGGTATGGGATGAGGTTGCCGAGGAGCTAGGTATAGGTCTCGTAACTACATTTTGATGTACCATACGCGAGAGCCTTTTTTTTTTTTTTTTTTTTTTTGTTCTAAGTAATTTCGACAGTAATCCATTAGCATAAAGTTTGTGAATTCAATAAGCATTCAATCTAATAAAATTCCATTTTTCGTACTCCATTTTCATATATTTGGAAGCAATAAAGATTGTGAGAGCATGCATACACGCATGTCCGATTGGGCATGCGTGTATTACAAGCTCGTAGAGTTAAGCACCTTTGCCAGGCTCATGTAAGACACGGGGCAAATACGATGCAAGAACCATTAGCATCAAGTCTAGGCCTAGTCACAAGTTGCACTAACCACCCTAATTAACACGTTATTCGAATTAAACAGCTAATTGACTTGATGATCGAAATAATGTTCACAAAACCAACAATGAGCACGTACTACGTATAACTCTATCAAGAATGCTAATGATTGTGCTAAAACAATATACCCCAAGGGTTTTCACATTCAAACTTTTGAGGGTTGCCTCTTAGTATTACGGTTTAGTGATAGGAGCATATTTAGACGACTTAGTTAGCTTGTTTTCTTACATTTATGTTGTTAATTCATAGTTATTTTAGTATTTTAAGCTATTTTCGTGTGTTTATAGGTTCATATGGCTAAGGAAGCAAAAAGGTGCATTTTGGAGCAAAATTGGACTTGGAATGTATAGCATATGTTTGGAGCAAAAGGAATGGACGAAATTGAAGACCTAAAGATGTTAGGATTCCTAATCAAAGAAGGAATCCTAGTGAAAGAAGGTTTCCTACTTGAAGTAGGAAAGTTAAGCCAAGGTTTCCTATTTTGGTTTAACCTTTCCTAATCCTAGATGTCCCTAAATTCCAGCAACATTGAAGGTTTCTTATGCATTTTAGGGCACAAACCAAAGGTCCCTTTTCTCCTAATCTTTGCCGCACCCTCCTTACCCTTTTTCTTCCAAAATCTGCCACATATCTTCCTTTCCCTAGATGTGCCGCACCCCACATTCCCTTATTCCCCCTTTCCTTGCAATAAAACACCTTTCCCTTCTCTCCTAGTCAATGCCGCAACTTTCCTTCCCTTTTCCTCTTAGAATTCTGATTTGTTACCCTTTTCTTGGAGGATTTGGAGTCTTAAAACCTTCCCAAATTAATTAATTCAGGCCTTAACCTTTCTCCCTCTATATATACACAATATGCCGCATAAAATAGCTCTCTCTAGACATCAATATTCATTCTCTCCATTCATTCAGCCATCATCCACCCCCTACCACCATCCAACCTATCCATCCATCACCATATTTCATACCCAAACACCCTTGTGCCGCAACAAAGAAGGAGAAAGAAAAGAGGATAAGCCTTGGACGTTTTGGCCATTCAATCTTGGTTTTCAATGTTTAATTTATATTCTCTTTGTTTTATTGTAAACATGAGGGGCTAAACTTGTTTTAGCTAGGGGAAACTTTGAAACCATGATTATATTTGCAATATGAATTGATTAATTCCAGTTGTGATTTCATAAATTGTGAATGCAATTTACTTAACCGTTTGATGGATAACTGTTTGGGCCCAAAATATTATGATTGGGCCGAGCAGCAAGATGTGCTCAGCCCAAGGTAATGACACATGCTATGGGCCAAATAATGAAACCCGGACCAGCTGGCAGGGTCGTCCAGATCCTATCTTAAGTAGTTCAAATGAATGAGGAAAGGTCGAGGAAATCCTGGTGCGACCAGGATTCTCGACCGGCAAGGGATAAAGCTTCAAAAGGAGGAGAATTCAGAATCCAGTAGGACTAGGATTGTTCGAGTTAAAGGTGAGATGGGACAAGGACTCCCAATCCAAATCAGAATGGGATTCAAGGAGCGAGGTGCTATAAATACAAGAAATTACGCAATAGAAAGGACCCTTCACAATCAGCATACAATTGCCCTGCGCAAAACCTCTCAAACACCTTGAGATTTTTCCTTTTCTTTTCCTGCCGACACACCTTCAGTTTGGATAAACAGCACTGTGGAAGCAACCGGTGAGCACCTTCAGTTTGGATAAACAGCACTGCTGCCGCAGAATCAGCCGACCGAGAAACACCTTCAGTTTGGATAAACAGCACTGCGTCGAGGTCGACCGATTATCTATCTAAGTCTCGGCCGAGAAGGGTTTTCGAACCTTTGTTGGTAGAGGTCATCTAACTAAGCCTTTTCGGCGTAGTTGGGTGTTACGAGTTGCATTGCTCGGCGTATTGGACGCCGAGTGAGTTTATGATTGGATACTCGCAAGTAAGTTTCAGGGTTCGGCATTCCGACGGTCGAACTACGTTTACCATCAAGACATACATCACATTCGAGTACCTGTGCCCATATAGTTTGGTCTCGATTCGGCGTGCTTATACTCTTACGAATATAATCACAGCGACCGAATCAGGGTCCGACGACTTGTGAACTCCGTAGAATTAGTAGCCTTGTCTTCAGGCTATAGAACCCAGAGGCCGAGAGCGTTCCTTCCTCGGTCGCAATCGCAAGATACAGAAGTCAATAGCGCACCCAACGCGACATCACATTTTACTCCTCGGCCGAGCTCGGCCGACGAGTTGGCACGCCCCGCATTCAACCGAATGACGTAGTTAGCTCATTAGTTACTCGGCCTGCGCGCCACGTAGGTTTTGTAATTTTTGTAGTCAACAATAACTTATTCTTGTTTGTTGATTAAGGGTGCACACTTAGTTTGCATGCTTGAATTTGGTGCTAGAATATAAGGGAGTTTCACATAATCGTTACAAACTTATATTCACAGGTAGTTAAGGTTGTTTTCACAATCATGTTAAGTAAATTCCTAGCATGAGTATCATGATGTTATAGTTACAAGTGCTTTGTCAATGCTTATGATTTTCATAGAACGTAATGATCTTTAATTGTATCTCTATTATGATGCCATGTAGGGAACTTTTGAAGAATGCTTTGGGTTGTCGTATGATGTCATCCAATCAATAACTAAAGGAGAATCTGAGGGTTAATTAGTGCTATCACGGTTAATCTAGGGTGTTGAGGTTCATGGTTTATTGAAAAAGCAACTGGAAATCAATTTGTATTCGAATGTATCATGTGTGGAAAAGTATCCTCTAGCTATTTAATCATCCATCGTTTTTCTCAAATTCGTCCAATGTTTATTTAAGTCTTTTAGTTACTTGTTTTTACATTAATTTCGTCCAAAACCCAATTCTCTTTACTTACTTGTTTCAAATCTATCTTATTGAGTGTTTTTGAGTATTTTGAGTCAAAACTAATTCTATTTTCGTCCAAATTGAGTCCTAGAGTCTAGTTTGAGTCTTTTTGATTGTTTTGTGTTGTTTTGAGTCTCTTGAGTTTGTTTTGAGTCATATAAGTTTAGTTAAAAGTCTTTGAGTTTATTTTTAAGTCTAGTTCTGAATCTTTGAGTTAGTTTTTATTAGATTAGCAATCCCTCCTAATCCCCGGCCTAGAACGATCCCTACTTACATCTTTACTACAATTGTCAATAAGAGGGTTTAATTTGAGTGCTATTATATATCACATCATTTAGTGATATTTTTCTTTACTTGTAAGTGAAAGATCTCAGTGTTGTAGACTCGTCAATAGGGAATTAAAAACTAATTTATTTCCGTCACTATTATGCTCCAAAATTAAATCAAATTATTCAGTCATCTTAAGGCGACAATTATTATTCACAACACAAAAACAATTAGACTCGACCTCTTTAAATGTATGCGATTAACCATATTCATATTATGTAGTTTTATCGTGTCGTATCCAAAATTTTCATTCTCGTATTCAAACTGAAACACACACAACACTGCTACAACTTAGAAATTAAAATGCCAATTATCTAAAGCTAGTCAATTCTACTTCACATGGCATTGGACAATAACACAATTTTTTCCGACTAATGACAAGTCCGCTTCTAAATGTAATTGGTTTTCTCAAATCATCTTAAACACAGAATACTGAATGTACAATTAAAGGGATTGTCGTACCTATGGACTCCTGCAGATGGGTAAGAATGACTTGCAGCAGGACAAGCTCTTTCAAAGACCAAATGAGGTGAATGCAGCTGCCTTGGAGCTTCAGGCCCCCTATGTTGAAATAAAAATCAATAAGTTTTTAATACATAACGAAACCCAAATGATCAATGGCTATTTAATCACAGGTGTTTATGCATAACTCAGGCACATTCATGCATCAATAATATATAACAGCACTATATTCTTCTCTGACGTGTCATAAATTAAACATGTGCCACAAGAATGTGATCGCATTGAGATAGATACACACAGAAAAAAAACATAAAACACTAAGTGAAACACATAGTAATGAATTTATATGTTTAATTTACAAAGGTTTTCCTTACCCATGGACTCTTGCAGAAGGGTAAGGTTGACTCGCAGCAGGACGAACTCTTCCAAACCCTAAGGGAAGAGAATACAGCTGCCCTGGAGCTTCAGGCCCCCTATGTTCAAATAAACCAATAAGTTTTTACCAAAGCCAAATGCTCAATGACCATTCAATCACAGGTTTTTATGCGGGACTCAGCACACTCATACATCAACGATATATCACAGCACCATATTTTTCTATGACATATACATTAAACATAAACCAAATAATTTTGTGATCGCATTGAGACTGATAACAAAGACAGAAATCATATAACACCAATTGAAACACTTTTAAGGAATTTAAAAGTTTACAGTTGTTGGTGTTGTCATTACCTTCAACAAAACATTTACAAAGCCGGTTTATTTCTTAAGAAAAATAAAGGTACAGTAGTGAAGCTTGGCAAGTCAGATTAACAATACACATCGGATTCTCCCCCTGGGGGGAAGCCAGTGCTTAATTTCATGGTGAAGTTTGACATAAGTGCATCAAAGTCACTACTAAGCCATAGATTATCCTAGTAAAATACATGAGCTTAACGCTTAATTGAGCAAAACGAGTAGTACTTATCGTAATATAAATCAATTTTCTTCCAATATTAATTCATTCTGGAAATCGAATTTGGCTTCCTAAATTTTGTCATCAACCAAACAGAAAGAGCTGGAAAAAGTAAATCTGTGAAATTCTCGCCAATGGAGCTCAAACTGTCCTAATTTTCCACAATACTAACTTCCCGAAACCTAAAATTTGATTCTAGACGAACCCCTCGATTCCAAAACCCCAGCTTGACCAGAATGACACCAATTTTAGCACTAAATTCTCCAAAAAAAAAAAAAAACATAAAAATCAGCAATGCCAGCAAAAAGAGCTAAACAAATTAAAAACAAAACCCCAGAAAAATTAAAGACTGGGAAAACAAGACTCACCGTTGGAGCCGCAGCTAGAAATGTGGAGGCTTGGAGAAGTGAGAGACGTACTTAAATGAGCTATTATAAAAAACGCTAATAAGAAACGTACTCAAATGGAATACAAACCTGCAAAACTGGAGATGCGAGTTTGTATTTGCTAGAGAACTTGCACAGATTGTTCAAGATTGTGAAGAGGAAAGCTTGCGAACGAGAGGGAGAGAGATGTCTACGGGAAAGAGAGAAGGAGAGATGAGCGAGAGGGAAGAGAGAGGTCTATACGGGAAGGAGGGAAGAGAAAGGTCTATTATACGGGAAAGAGGGAAAGAGGGAAAGAGGAGGGAGGTCCAAACTTAGAAAAATTGAAAAAAACTGCCTATTTTTCACTATTGGACCGCTAAATTTATCATAACTTGCGCAACGTAGGTATACAATTTGACGTCACGCAAAGTGGTTTTGCGCGACGACCACGTTAAGGCGTCGAGCAAGGTTTTTTTTTTTTTTTTTGCTCAATTATTATAAAAATTACTGAAAATGTGACTTTACTCCTTTCAAATTCAAATTTATTTTTACATAAACCCCACAATAATATATTTTTCTAACAAAAACCCACAATAATTTTTTTTTACATATATATCATTCAATTTCTTAAGTGTTATAATTAAGTACAAAATAAATAAATTAAAATCTACTTAGTAAATATATATACCATTGAACTTGATGGGAAACGCATTGTACGAAACTAGTTTCAACGATCTAACCGTCAAACTTGTTTGTATATGCTTCAAGATCACGTACGCCAAAAATTGCAAAAAACAAACATTTAGAGATCAAGTAACGGGACAACACTTTTCGATGGTTATAAACAAAAAAGCACGATTTAACGGTAGTTTTAACTTCGATTTTGATGATTTTTTAGAGCTACACTCCTTCACCCTATATGAATACAATGAACTAATTCGATCTTCAATTTAAAATATTTACAATAGTGGCTACCACACAATCTTATGTTATGAAAATATAAATAAACTCCAAGTGTTAGTGAATGTATCGTTAATGGGATACGCATTCTATAAAACTAGTTTCAACGATCCAACCGTCAAACTTGTTTGTATATGCTTTGAGATCGCATACATCAAAAATCGTAAAAAACAAATATTCAAATATCAAGTAACAGGACAAAACTTTTCAACGGTTATAAACGAAAAAGCACGATTTAACGGTAGTTTTAACTCCGATTTTGATGATTTTTTAGAGATACAATCTTTAACCCTATATGAATATAATGAACTAATTTGATCGTCAATTGAAAACATTTACACAAGTAGATACCACAAAAGAAAAAGGCAATGCAAGAACACCAAAAGAAAAGCAAAAGGGCAAAAAAAAAAAAAAAAAAAAAAAACGCTTTTGCATGACAAAATAAATAAATTCAAATCTACTTACTAAATATATATATCATTGAACTTGATGGGAAACACATTGTACGAAATTAGTTTCAACGATCAAACCGTCAAACTTGTTTATATATACTTCGAGATCACATACGTCAAAAATCGAAAAAAAAAAAAAAAAACATTTAGAGATCAAGTAACAGGACAAAACTTTTCAACGCTTATAAATGAAAAAGCACGATTTAACGGTAGTTTTAACTCTGATTTTGATGATTTTTCAGAGCTACACTCATTCACCCTATATGAATACAATGAACTAATTCAATCTTCAATTTAAAATATTTACACTAGTGGATACCACAAAATCTTATGTTATACTTGATAAAAGTACAAATAAACTCTATGTGATAGTGAATGTATTGTTTTGATGGGAAATGCATTGTACGAAACTAGTTTCAACGATTCAACCGTTAAACTTATTTGTATATGCTTCGAGATCGCGTATGCCAAAAATTGGAAAAAACAAACATTCAGATATCAAGTAACAGGACAAAACCTTTCGACAGTTATAAACGAAAATGCACAATTTAACGGTAGTTTTAACTCCGATTTTGATGATTTTTTAGAGCTACACTCTTTGACCCTATATGAATACAATGAAGTAATTTGATCTTCAATTTAAAATATTTACACTAGTGGATACCACAAAATCTTATGTTATACTTAATGAAAATATAAATAAACTCCAAGTGTTAGTGAATGTATCATTTTGAGGGGAAACGAATTGTATAAAAACCGTCAAACTTGTTTGTATATACTTCGATATCACATATGCCAAAAATCGAAAAAAACAAACATTCAGAAATCAAGTAACAGGACATAACTTTTCGACGGTTATAAATGAAAAACCATGATTTAAAGGTAGTTTTAACTCCGATTTTGATGATTTTTTAGAGCTACACTCCTTGACCCTATATGAATACAATGAACTAATTTGATCTTCAATTTAAAATATTTACATTGGTGGATACCACAAAATCTTATGTTATACTTGATGAAAGTATAAAGAAACTCTAAGTGTTAGTGAATGTATCGTTTTGATAGGAAATGCATTGTACAAAACTAGTTTCAACGATCCAACCGTCAAACTTGTTTGTATATTCTTCGAGAACACATACGCCAAAAATCACAAAAAACAAACATTCAGAGATAAAGTAACGGGACAAAACTTTTCAACGGTTATAAACGAAAAGGCACGATTTAACGGTAGTTTTAACTCCGATTTTAATGATTTTTTAGAGCTACACTCTTTAACCCTATATAAATACAATGAACTAATTTGATCGTTAATTTAAAACATTTACACAAGTAGATATCACAAAAGAAAAAGGCAATGCAAGAACCTCAAAAGAAAAGCAAAAGGACAAAAAAAAAAAAAAAACACTTTGCACGACTTAGGTACACTTGCGTCACGCAAAGTGTTTTTTTTTTGTTTTTGTTTTTTTTTTTTCCTTTTGCTTTTCTTTTGGCCTTTTGCTTATGAGTACAAAATAAATAAATTAAAATCTACTTACTAAATATATATATATATATACCATTGAATTTGATAGGAAACGTATTGTACGAAATTAGTTTCAACGATCAAACTGTCAAATTTGTTTGTATATACTTCGAGATCTATGCCAAAAATCGCAAAAAAAAAAAAAAAAAAAAAAAAAAAAAACCTTCAGAGATCAAGTAACGGGACAAAACTTTTCGACGGTTATAAACGAAAAATCATGATTTAACGGTTATTTTAACTCCAATTTTGATGATTTTTTAAAGCTATACTCCTTGACCATATATGAATACAATAAAATGATTCGATCGTCAATTTAAAATATTTACACAAGTGGATACTAAAATTTCCACTATCGAAACCTAATCCGTGAACTGCAAACTACAACACATAACTATGCATTCCCAAACTGTCCAAAAAATGGAATAATTCAAGAATTAATTGGACCGTAGTCATGTTTTCGCATCCATACACGAAATCCAACTAATTCTCAAACAGAAAACTAAGCTTTTCTTGAAAAAAGTGTACGAAGTTAAGTAGTATTAACTTCGTAAAACAAAAAACAATTGTGTACTTGATGTACAAAAATATGTGCATACAAATAAATTAAATCACAATAATTAATGAAACTAAATAAAATAGATACAAACTATTAATCCTTCTAAACCAAAAAATGGGACGATTCCATATTGACATCACCCAAAATTTCTATGTTCCACAGTTTTAACTTATTGTTTACCCCTTCCACTCCTGCTGGAAAATTATTGTTTAAGGACCTATATAATGAGACCATGTATTATAAATCGTAAAAGGTAGAGACTACACCTAAAATGATTACTAACCACGTAATAGAATAGTGGTTTGACAAAGCTGTAAACTGGCTTCTTCTCTAAATCTCTAACATTCTAGTTTCCTCCTCCCAATTTGGTGAGAAATGAAATCTATCCATTTTTTGAGCACACATCAATCTATCCCTAAATTAGATCAAGTTAACTGAGCAGTTTGCAGTTTCATAGCTTTTATTTCCCTAAACCTATCAAAATCCTTCATACTCTTAGTCATTCATTCTACTCATTCAATTGTTCAAAACCAAAACTCAACTTGTTAAAAATAAGCTAGCATTGACAAAGACAATTAAAGAAAAACATAAATACACAAAAATAAAAAAAATCCAAACATAAATGTAATTAATAAATAGCTAATTAATTAATCAAATAAATACAATACCTGAAGGTGAAGATGGTGAGGGTTGAGAGAGATAAAGAGTCTGAAAGAGAGAGGTTGAGTGTGAAGAAAAAGGCCCCTATGTGTGGTTATTTTAGAAAAAAGAGTCGTTGACTTTGCACGACGCAAGTTCAACTACGTCGTGCAAAGCTGTTTTGCGCGACGTAGGTATACCTGTGTCGCGCAAAGTTGGGAAAAAAAGCTGTAAGCATTCTTTGTTTGGCACCAAAATCTTGTGCGACGCAGTCAACGTCGCGCAAAGTAGCTTTGCGCAATGGACTTTTGCGTGACGAAGGAATGCATTGCGCAAAGCTGTTTTGCGTGACGTAGGTGCACCTTTGTAGCTTTGCGCGATGTTTTGTGTTTAGTGTGCGCAAACATACTTTGCGCGATGAAATTTACTGTGTCGCGCAAGTTTCTGTCGTGCAAACATGTTTTTGTACTAGAATTATCTGTTCAAAATAATGCATGAATATAAGTAGATACTCGAAAAATGAGAAAGAAAGCAATTGTTAGCGGACCATTTATAGCATCACAAAACACATAAAAAAAATGCAAGTTGGCGTACCTGAGATGCAATTCCTAATTCCACAGATGATCGAATTGTTAGAAGGAATAATAAGAAAAAAAAAATAAAAACCCAATGATTTCAATTTTTTTTTTTTGGGTTTTGATTGCATGAAATCTTCACAATGATGCATAAATTCAACTTTACACGTTCCGAATTATACTATTCTGCTTAAATTATGTTCACAATTCTTACATCTTGTGGCAAAGTGATAATTGAGCGAGAAAAGAAAAAAAAAACAGAATTATAGTTTATGCACCTTGACTTGCACGAAGCCACAACTTGAAGCCGTTTAAGCTGTGTTGTTGAGCCACGGTTGTGAACTGTTAAAGCCGAGCCACTCCTTTTCCAAAACCCTAGGACAAAAAAAAAAACGTTGTTTTTGCGTCGTCTCTGTCCTTCATACTTGGATCATCAGTTGAGTCGGCCGTATTTTACCATTGTCAAACTTAGGAAAAGTATCCTGAAGTATACTCATTTGATATTAATGTACTTTTTTTTTCCTACGAACAAGATCATTTGTCCAATTGGGTTTTTTTGCCTGACGAGATTTTGACGACGCACCCATTCTGAGTTGGCCATACCTTTGTGTGCATCCTACTTCCATCCTAAAGATATTAAATTTTGACTAATTACATTTACTCACATTTTTTCTTAGAATATGAGTCTTGTTCTGTACTGAGTTTCAATTTTGTGAAGTTTACTCCTATATGCAGTTTCTTAATTGAAACTAGTGTGTTTTCTATCAGTACTTATGAGATGAAGTATAAGAAAAGCCCAATGGTCACCGTGCCTTTGGGCAGCCAAAATCCAAGCCCTTTTCTACAAGGCCCAAAACATGAAGCCTTCCTCCCTCGCTAAGAAATCTTTCTTCAAAATTTGGAATTAGAAACAGAAAAAATGGAGGAAAATTAATGGAAAAAATTTGAAAATTTTAAGTTTTAATCAAATTAATAAAAGATGTTGTAAATAAATAGTACCAAGAGTAACTTTTTAGAATAAAGATGTTGAATAAAAATAAAACTCCCCAAATGATGGACACTTTTTGGATCAAAGCTTTCCCGGAACGCAGAGAGAGAGAGTAGCGAGTGTGCGATGCAATGGGCTCTTCTCTCTCCTCCGCCATTCTCATTCTTCTCTTTGCTTTCTGTCTCTCTCTTCCGACCCTCTCACTTGCCACCGAACTCAAAGGCATCTATCTTTATATTGTCAATTTTTGTTCAGTATTGCTGGTCGCCGCCTGTTTGCTTCCCGAGAAAATTTTAGGAAAATCAGTGAAATTTTGATGTTTGAGTGTGTGGGTTGTTTACTTATTTCCATTTTAAGAGAGAAAAACTGGCACTTTGACTTGCTCTGCATTTATTTGCTTACTACGTTTTAGTCTCACTTTTGTTGTTTCTTTACTTGTAAGGCAGATAGAGGTTTAGGGTTTCGTTATGCCTCTTTAGGGTTTATTTCGGTTGCTGTATTGCTTGAGGGAAATGTCAAGTTGTTAGCGGGTTAGGGTTTAAAAAATGTCGACTTTTTGGCCTTTAAAGTGGAATGTTAGTTTCAATATTGTAGTTTAGCGTGATACCCTTTTGGGTTTGGTCTGATAACATATGTTGCACCTTACTGCTCGATGTCGTGTTGATTTTGAGTTTTTAATCTGCTATAGCTAAACAATATGTCCATTATAATTTTAGGGATTTGAACTTTGAAGAGTTCGAATATCTCGTGTACTTTGGTGGTTTGTTTGCATATTTGAAACTAACCTTTATCAATGTTAAAATCACAGCTGTTGATATTAAAAACCCAGTACTAGAAGTCATCCCCGCACCTCTTTCTGAGCACTCAGCTGTGCCTGGTTCTAAAGATGTTTTATTTTGTGAACGGGCACGAGTTTCTGGTACATCCAGGTTAAAACTTGGGAGTTATGCAAGTTCACTTAAGATCACCTTGTCTACATCTCTTGTAATCCCGGAGAGGTTGCATAGCAAAACTCAAGTCTGTTTTCATAGGTGAGTGAAATGTCTCATCTTTACTGTGACAATCATTTTGTTTTTTTTAGGATAATTGTGTTTTATTGGTTGAGTTATGAGTGCACCATATGCTACCCCTCCCTCCCTCTCTCCGTTTCTCTTTCCCTTACTCATTTTCTCAAGTTGCACTCTCACACACACGCACACCTTTTTTGTGTGGATTGTTTTGTCTCACTCATGAATTTTTTTACAGGAATAATACGCTTGGATTATGTCAGTGTGTAGAGGATGATTGGAAAATTCTTCAGAAAGGGTTATGGATTTCTGTCATGTCGCCTTATGATGACAGATATGTCGATGTCAAGTTCATTGGCAAAATACCTGGCTCTGTCACCATTACTGTTGAAGAAGGTCTGATAAAAATAAAAGTGTGGCTGACTATAATTGCATATGCTACAATTTGCAGGCTCTGATAGTTATCTATTTTTGTCTGTACAGATTTTCAGAGATGGCGCCTTGTGTGTCTTGCACTGGGATTTACTTTACTATTGTTTGCACCAATTGTCAGCAATTGGGTACCTTTTTATTATAGCAGTTCAATGGTTATAGGAGGTTTTCTGGTCATTATAATCATTCTCTTCCAGGTAATTTTTTGTGTGATTCCGATGTATTTTTGTTTGACTTGCATGCTTTTAGTTTTTCATTGGGTAGTTTGAATTTCAGATCTCCTATGAAACGAATTGTAATTGCAGGATTTTGTGATCATTATCTTTTCACCTGAAGTTTTAGCTTGCAAATTTGTAGGTAATGTTTTGCATCATTGTTTGTCTTTAATCTTTCAGGGAATGAAGCTGTTGCCAACTGGAAGGAAAAATGTCCTCTATCTTACCATATATGGATCAGTGGTAACAATTGGTGTCTTGAAGTTTCCTGTTGCTTCATGGTAACTTATTAACCTCATGTAATTGACGGTACAAGTAATTCTTACAATTTATATGCCTTTGACAGCTTGGAGCAGGATCTTTCCTTGTTCCTCAGTTTTCACTGATGGTAAATTCTGTTCTTTTGAGTTTTGGGCTAAGTGAAGAGATGCATAACCCAGTAAGTATTGGTTCCCTAAATCTTATATTCGCAAAATTCTCATAAATATCTATACAAATTGTCTGCTTCTGAAACTTTCTCTTTGGATCACTTCATTGTCTTGGCTTCTTGTGTTTTTCTGCCAGGTCTCTATATTTTTACTAGTGGGAATTATCCCTGCGGGAGCTGCATTAGGGTACTGGATTGTGAGGGAGTTTGTTGTCTCAAAAGATGGGACAGTAGATGTTGGTGTAGCACAATTTGTCAAGTGGGCTATGCGTATCATTGGAACAACCTCCATCTTGCAGGTGTTCTCTCGCATTCCATTTGGCTGTATTCTTGATATTCGAGTACAAATGTTTGCCTGCTTAATTAAACTATGTGGGGTAGAAATTTGTAACGGTACTTTATGTACCTTGCTAAAATTATTTGATTATGTACCTTGCTAAAATTATTTGAGGGACTTTTTATAGCCGATATGTGTGAAAGGAGAATCATCGGAATTTTTGGATAATAGGGCCATGTCCTTGTGTACTAAGATTTAGCTAGTAGATTATTGGACACTCAATACTCAGTGGACATATACAGCATGTCACTTTCCATAGCCAAGTACAATACACCTAGATTGTGTTTCTTGTCTATTACTTGTCCCTTTGAGGATCAATTTTTAGATCATAGAAACACCATTTATTGCCTGGCACCATTAGGACAATGTTACTTCAAACCTTTATTTAATTTAAATTTGTCTTATGGACCCACAGGCACTTACGACTGAATTGGTTATTCAGTAATCTTATGTTAAAGTAAGTTTTATAATTTGATGTAATTGCCAAAATATTTGGTTATTGATTCTTTTCATTTTCTCAGAGCACTCTCGATACTCCTTTGGCAATGGGCGCTTTGGTTTCTTACTGGATTATCATGAAGTTGATTACTTCTCTGAAATGGCATCGCAAATCGTAAGTCATACATTCTCTTGGTATTACAGAAGTGAATGCATTTTAGCCGAAATAATTTAACTTTTTGTGTGGAGCTATATTTTTTTTGAAATAAGTTTAGATTTCTGGTTAGGTTTTGTATTTGGAAGGTAAACATTAGCAGTCCCTGAAAGCTCAGTTAGATGAATGGATGTGTCCCCTGATCATTGATAAAGGGTTTTGTCACATTAAAACATTTTACCATCATTCCATGCAGTCATCAGTCGGATGCTGGGAGTGGGAGTCCTTGGCTGCAGAACGGAGAACAAGTCAAGGGTAGACAAAGTCGTCCAGGATTTCTTAGCAGGAGTCTATCTGCTTGGTCTGACTCTCCTGTTAAAGGTATTTTTATTTTATGTGCTGTTACGTTTATGCATATTTTGACTGATTTGCCGTTGCAGCTACTTAGTAGTTGTTTTGTTATGTACTTCAACAAAGAGTTTGTGTTGGTTATTTGTTCTGCCTATTTAGAAAAAACTGAGTCGACATGCAAAATGCAGAATATCCATTCCCTTTTCAGCTTTACATATCATGCAAGAGTGTAGGAGTGTATGGTCAGCGTACCATTGTACACTTTAAATTAAGCTATTTGTTTCTGTTTGTTGCACGTGTCATGACATTCATACAACGAGGAGCGTGCCAATGCTCTTAATTAGGTTGGACAGACTTGAAGTCATTATTAGAGATGTCATTTAGGTATAAAGCTAGTGTGTGTAGTATCGCGTTCATCCAAATAACTAACTTTCCCACATTCTTACCTAACCACGTGTTTAATTGAATTTAGTCACATGTATACAAGAAACATGATTCGATTAACTCATATTCAAGGACAATATCAATAAGATGATCCATAACTAAAACAAACACCAAACTGGAATCCAAGAACATAGAAAAATGTTCACAAAGTAAATCAAAATTACTGAGGGTATTCGGCCAACATGGCTATTCATGTCAAAATTCTGCTCTTCCAACAATGTTCGGTGGAGCAAAATTAGTTTCACATGTTGACTATGAGAATGGTACTCCTCAACGACATTGGTAGAGGCACGAACAGGTGCATAACTAATGATCTATTCTATCGAGATGAATGTAGATTCTGTAGGGTTGAGGTTCAGGAATATTATCCCTTATTCTTGAAGTTTTAGGTCTTAGGTGCCAAGGATCACGCTTCGGGCATGATGCCACACGTTGGCAGATCCTGATTTTACCATATGTTGTAAAAACAAACTTGAAATTGGATTGTGAGAGAGATAGACCGACTTGGGTTTGGTAGGCTCCAGTCGAAGCTGGAGGAGTCTGTTTGGTAGGCCTTTGCCGAAGTAGAGTGCATCTCTACCGAAGTAGAGCATGCCCTTCGGTGCATCCCTGCCGAAGCAGGGCATAACCATTCGGTAGACTCCAGTCAAAGCTAAGTCTATACTGTTTTCTCACATTTATGGTAGTAATCAGTTCCAAGAATTTGGTAAACTTCCGCTTTCTACACTATTGTTTTAGGAACGAGTTAGAAACATGGAAGGACAAGAAAAATATTCTCCAATCAAAATTCAATTGGATTTATAAACGTTAGAATCACAATCATTCATCGACGTAATCACGGTGTGCTTTAGACAATATCTTTCATGATTAAACGATCCGTAGAAGTGAGCCAAAGAGCCATGGAATCCTCATTCGGGAGGTAATTCCATTTGTAATGCTTCGGGCATAAGTCTTGGAATGAAGATCATGACGGAGGCTTATTTAGCTCTTCCATGCCATTGTTGGTTACAATAGTTTCTCATCTTCTTGATAGTCAAGTGGAGATTCACGTCTTGTATCCACATAAAGTGGTTTGTGTTAGAAACATCCAAATTGTGGTTTCTGTTAGAAACATCCAAATCAGTGAGATCGAACTTGTGACGGTTCAACAATCCATTGAATGGAGGGAACAAGCTTGTGAATAATGCTATAGGATATAAAATATCCATAAGCATCAAAGTTAGAACATTCGGGTTCTAAGACGTGGTATACATGAAACATTCGGGTATTCTTGGGTGTATTATAACTCTAATAGGATAATATCTAGTCTAAGAGATGTGGTACAATCCCATAAAGATATCCTAGATATGTTAGGATTTACACAATCACATTCCTAATCTAATAGGAATGCAACATTTTTGTTATTTTTATTAGGAAAAAAAGTTTTATTAGTAGCTGCAGGGCAAAAAAATGGTGAAATTATTTGAGTTAAAAGATAACAAAATTAAGTTTTGTTATTCTAATACAACTGTGGATAATTACACACACACACGCACACACACACACACATACATACTAGAGAGATATTCCTATCAAAGCAAATCAATGCCCCAAAAGATAGAAACCCCTCAAGGAAGGAGGGATCAGTACTACTAAAGACTAAACTTCCGGAAAGATAAAAACCCCTCCATCACTTCCTAGAAAGTCATCCTAAAGTTCCCCGGATATTTTGTTACCATTAATAAAGTAACTTAAAAACTTAAAAACAAAAGTGGCATTTATTTTATATAATATATATAGTAGTGGAGATGAAGAGTTGACTTGTAGCGTATCATATGGCACAAGTGAACGCATCCGCGTCTGGTGATCTTCATCTGAATGTAGATGATTTCTACTTTTCCGCACTCTTTGATGATGAAACTTATGACGAGTCTGAACTAGTTTCAGATTCCAAGTACGCACAAGATTTGCAGTTCCAAGAGGCTCTAATGTCCTCTTCTGCAATCACCTCCCAATCGACGCACAATGGCGGTTCCTCTTCCTCTTCATCATCGGCAACAATCCAAGCAACCCAAGCAATCCAATCCAACCCACCACAACCATCAACACAAATCCTTTGTGAGATTTGTGTTGAAATGAAAGAGGCTGATGAGTTTTTTCAAAATGAGGGCTGCGTTCACTCCTTCTGCTCTGACTGCATAACCAATCATGTGGCATCCAAAATCCAAGCAAACATTCACGTAATTTTGTGCCCCGGCTTGGACTGCAGGGCTGTGCTGGAACTTGATGCTTGTATGCCAATACTTCCCAAAGAAGTCATAGAAGGGTGGAATGATGCCCTTTGTGAAGCTATGGTTTTAGGGGCACAAAGACTCTACTGTCCTTTCAGCGACTGCTCAACGGTTTTGATGATCGACAATGAAGGTGAGGAGGCTGTAAGAGTGTCCGAGTGTCCCATTTGCCATAGACTGTTCTGTGCACGATGTCAAGTCCCTTGGCATCCAGGAGTTGATTGTGAGGAGTATCGGAAACTTAACGAGGACGAGCGAGGGAGGGCGGATCTTATGGTTAAGGAACTTGCAAAGCAGAATAAGTGGAAGCGGTGCCCTAGGTGCAAATATTATGTGGAGAAGACTCAAGGTTGTTTGCATATTACTTGCAGGTCAGTTTGTTTAATTTGATAGTAACTGCACAAAGTATATTAGGCATAGGCAGTTGTTGCTTATTTAGGGCATTTTATCTCTAATTGACATAAAAATTTCATCAATAATTCTCGTTATCATCACAATTATGGTTTATCTTGTTGAGAGTATTATCTAACATAATATAATAATATCAGAGCAGATTAGCCACGAGTTAAACTTGGTGGCGACACATTTTCTTACGTTTGGTTTGAGTGACTCCACATATGATGAGGCATGTAGATAGGGTAGTACTCTACATCGGAAATGGAAGCCTTGCATTAGTAGTTTTAAAAATCTTAGCGTCCCCACAAATTGCCAATTAGTTGTCGGTGGGATGCACATTCTAACACACGAGTACTTTTATCCTTGACAGGATTTAGATGATGAATGCGTTTAGTGATGGAATAAGTTTAATGGGTTAAACAGCTAATGAGTTTTGACTGATGATGTTGAAATACTTTATTTAATTGTGGTTAATGTAAGGTTTAATGATTTTAGATAGATTACTTGGTGGGAGTTGTGTTTACTGTATATTGTATTTGCAGGTGCCAATACCAGTTCTGCTATGGATGTGGAGCAGAATGGACAAGTACTCATGGTGGTTGCCAGTGAGATTAAGTCGCGGAAGGCACTCGGCTTGAAGGTGTATTACTTGTTTGATGACGCTAGAACTTTTATTTATATACGGAATCGTCAAAGGTCCATCAGTAAGGGACTTTTGCTTGTAAATTTGCTTCCTAGATATTTGAGGTTGTGTGATGTGTAACATTGCTTTGAATTCCCTTATTAATGTTATGGAGTTTTCTCTTTTCTTTTGTTTTCTTCTTTCAAAGTTGGGTGACATCTTTGATCAAGTTTCACAAAACCCCATCTAGAAAATTTTATCGGAAAGAGGGCCAAATAAAATGAAATCTGAAAAAAAATTTCCCGGAAGGAGTAGCTGAGAAAAAAGACTACCCTTTGATGTCATCTGAAGAATAAGAAGAGTCTCTGCTAATGATTGGGAAACAGTGGTTGAAGATCGGAAATGAGTATTTCGAAATTCCGGTCGCAACCTCTTCATGGTCTATAGGTGTTCTATTGAGGTTGTATTTTACTAGAATTTGATTTGGCTGCATAACTGCCTTATTGTGGTTCCTTTTGATTCGTATGAAGTTTTCAATCCCGTGGTTTTCTTTGGTTTTTGGATCATTTTTCCTCTCAATTCAGAGTTTAATTGAGCTAATCAAAGGAAGATTACAAGTATGATTACAAAAAGAACCTCTAAGGGTTTGGTTTGGGATTGTGATGTTTTTAAAACAAAAGCAGCTTATTAAAAAAATCTGGAACATTAAATGTGTTTGATAAAAAAATAAAATAAAAGAAAGTGTTTAAAAAAAAAAAAACACTGCTATAAATGAAAGTAAAAAAGCATAGAAGCAGAAGCAGGGTCTACCATGCTTCTAAAAAAATGTTTTTTTTTTTCAAAGCATAGTAATCAATGTTCATTTTGACATTTTCAAATGGCAAGTATACCCTCACATGTTTTACAAAATTACAATCTTTACCCCTACATTATTGTCTTTGACAATTATTATAGCACATTAAATATCATATCATTTTTAGTCATTTAACATATTCAAAGCAATTTATATAAAAGTTTACCAAACACTTAGACAATTTTTTTATTTTTATTTTTTATTAAAAGTACTTTTACAAAAAAAAACAAAAATTACCAAACACTCAACAACTTTATTTTATAGCTGTTTATTCTCATAGCACAGTAGAAGCAGTTTTTTTAAAAAGCACAACAATACCAAACTAGCACTAAGATTATGGATTTGGTTTGCATTAAGAATTTAACATAATTGGGGTACTTCGAAGGGATTCTTGGGTGCAATCGGGTTATATCTCCTTATTCAAATCATGTGAAATGTAATAAGAGCGACGTTAATAGAGTGATATACACGCAATTAATTTAGTTAGATTCTCAATAATATTTGAGTAGCTACAACTTTTTATCTCTTACTGAATCAACTGTATTACTTTTGTCCTAAGTAATTTAACCTAAAATCTTGATGCAGAAATTAAATAAATAAAAACAAGTGTCTAATACTCATAAGTAGTCCTCCAAGTCAAACCTACAGTCTCAATGCGTGCATTAGATGAATATATTGTATCAAGAATTAATATGCATAGTGAATCAGTGATGCGCCTCACTCATCGGCGGACGGCACACTGAGGAAGGTCTCACACAATGGGAAGCTGTAATCACTACCAGTATATGCAGTTGTTCTGCATTCTTTTCCTTTCCAACCATGATCACCTGGAGGAAGAAGAAAAATTTACTGATATGTACGAGTCTATTTTTTAAGTATGTGCGTGCCTCATTGGATGCATTATGTACACTGTTCTACAAATTCCCGTCTAGCGCCGTCTAAACCCAGCCTGGGTATTAGGCGGCTGATCAACAACCCGATTACTTTCTAGGTGTTGAAAATTAAGAAAGTGTGTCTAGACATCTTTAGCTGCCTGCCTAGACCTCACCTAGCTGCCTAGACGCTAGGCCCCAACCTGCCACCTGATTAGCGGCTAGCGTATTTTAGAAACTTGCTTCTGTATAGTTTATTGATGACCTGCGGGAGAAGGGTTTGTTTTGATGAATCCACACGCTTTCTTCCAGCTACAATTTCAAAAAGAAGACAGCAATTTCCCAAATGAGGTATTTTCTTTTTCAGATCAACATCTCATTTTCATCTATTCCTTTTTACTTTGCTACATCTCCACTTGAAGCTATATTTATCAAATTGCCATTTATTAAGGAGGAAAAAACACTTGAAGCTATATTTCATTTTCATTTTTTCTTTTTTACTCTGTTACATTATTTATATTCCTCACATCCGTCTATTAAATCTTTAACTTTCAACTACTAAGTATTAAAATATTCATCTATAATTATTGATATCGTATTGGCGTGTTAATATGAACGGGGATCCAGACATCGACATTTTATATTTTGTTAATATAGTTACTGATATATTCTTGGTATGGCAATCACAATCAGTATAGTGTTTAGTCTCGTGCCACTCCACAAGCAGTGAAGCAAGTTTGACAGACTGAGGTAATATTTAAATAAAATAGAATTTATACTATTTTTACCCATTTTCTTAAAACGCTCATAAAGTTTACTAGCCTTATCAATCTCTTTTGAAAAAAGTAAAATCATCACGTCCCTACTTTCCTTTATTTACAGTAAACGACAAAATATGGATATCCACTTTTGATAAATGCATAACGAACTATCATTGCTATTTATTGTGAAATCGAAAATATATGTGCAGTAGAATATGAAGTAAATAAGATACAAGGTTCAGCAAGTGTGCTTAGGCCGTCTCCAACTGAAGGATCCAGAAGGATAGACGGCCGAAAATTGCTCGAAAATCGTCTTTAACCGAGGGCTAGGCCAGAGGGCTCGTGGACTCCACGAAATCTAAAAGGGCCAAAGGCCTTACTTGAACTTCTTCATCAAACTCCTCATCTTCTCGTCTTATTTGAGCCCATTTTTCTTCCAATTTGGAATTGGATGAGGACCTTCAATTGGAATCCGAAGAGGATCCAAAGTTAGAATTCATTACAAACTTGAATTGAAAGAGATTGAATTTAAAGTTGTGTGAATTATAGCCCAATATCCACCCTATTTATAGCCAAAAAAAAAAAAAAAAATTCAAATCCAACGGCTAGCTGACGTCACTTAGTCGTTGAATTTGAATTTAAGTTGTAGTTTTTAAATAATAATTTATGTTTGGCCTTATGACCCTTGGTTGGAGACCGTTTTTTTGTGACATGGCTAAAACAAGCCCTATGGCCCTTTGGCCCTTTGTTGGAGATGGAGGCAAATATGGCCTTGTAATGTTCATTAAAATATTAATATCCTGGAGGGCCAGAGAGCTAAAACGAGCCATTTGGCCAGCCCTTCGTTGGAGATGACTTTACGTTCTTGAGACAGTAGTAGTACTTTTTCTTATTATAAAATAAAATAAAAAATGCTAGGAGAACGCATTTGTGTACCACGTTTTATCTTTTTTTTTTTTTTTTAACATTTTTATGCCAAAGACTCTAAAAATGCTTTTTTGTTTAGAATTATAAAATGTTATCGTTTGAAGCATAAGTATACACAATATCATATTGAAAACGAAAAACAAAAGAATGTACTAATTGTGTACATCGCTGACCAAGTGTGACATTGGGAAACTAGGCTCTCAGTGTCTTCAAGCTCCTCCACAGTTAAGAACTCGAATCGACGACAAATCGTACTTATCTACATCGGAAAACTTGGCAATCGCCAACACGATCAGCGGCATAATTGGCACAAAACTAACTTTTTACTTGTCGATCAACCCCAACTGAGAAACAATCTCAAACTTATTCATCATTAAAATGGCAAGCCCTAGCTCTAAGCCCACAAAGCAACACTGAGTTCAAAGAATAAATATGAAAAAGCGGCAACACGAACAAAACGACGCTTGTCACAAACCCCCTTGTGCGTTAGCATCACCTGTAAGGAATACATTCCTTACGTATACACCACAGTCAAAGATCTCTCAGACATGGTATGAAGTCACAAACACAAGAACATCAACTACCAACATAAAGATAAATATGAAAGACATACCTGCAGCACTAGATGATGATGCCATAATAACCTATGAAAATAGTTATCCTTCTCCTCTTTGCAATACCACGAGTGCTCTCAAACAATAGGGCTTTGACACAGAATAAGCATCGTATCGCGAGAGCAGTGATTAACATTTATGTACTCAATGTTCTCCTTACTGATCTTCTATTAGAATCAGCATAGAACACAAACATCACAGTTTGAATCAAACATGTGTATAAATACCATCCTAATACGCACATGAGTCCTTAAAACCTGGACTGCATTCAGAACTAGTAATCCTACAAGAAACATGTTTACTTAAAGCTTATTAACAAGACTTCTTCATATCAAATCCAGACACTATAACCAGCTCCGATGTCATGTTCATACTCATACTCTAATATTCTCCCACTTAAGTATGAAACTTGACAACCAATGCTCCAACAGCTTTTCAAAGTCTGATGAATGACTTATTCAAACCTTATCTCAAAAAATTTGTGTTGGTTGTCTTTGATGATATTTTGATATTCAGCAAGACTGGAAGAATCACTTGAATCACTTGCAGGTTATATTGGGAATTCTTAGAGATAACCAGCTCTATCTCAAGAAATCAAAATGCTCATTTGAACAAGCTTCTGTAGAGTATGTAGGGCATATTGTATCCCATGATGGTGTAGCTGCTGACCCTTCTAAGTTGCAGGCAATTCAAGAATGGCCTATTCCCAGAATTGTCAAAGAATTGAGAAGGTTTTTGGGACTCACTGGCTACTACAAGAAATTTGTGCCAGGATATGGAAAAATATGTCAACCTTTGTACAATCTCACAAGGAAAGATGGTTTTGAATGGAATTCAAATGCTATGTTAGCTTTTGAACAACTCAAGTCTATCATGGCCTCACCACAGGCTCTCGCTCTCCTAGATTTTTCTAAAACTTTTGAGTTAGAATGTGATGCATCTGGATGTGGTATTGGTGTTGTTTTAGATCAGGCAAGAAGACCTATAACTTTCACTAGCCAATCCCTAGGTCCATGAACCAAGCTCTTTCTACATATGAAAGATAATTGATTGCCATAGTACATGCTGTGAAAAAATGACAACATTATCTCCAAGGAAGACACTTTATTATTAAGACTAATCATAACAATCTCAAGTACTTCTTAAACCAGAGGGTAAAC